CTGTGGTGCTTCTCGTTCGGCTTGTACTTGGCGCCAAGGATGTAGACGCGGATCATGCGTTGAATCGTGGTGACTGCTTTCACAGACAGCGGTGTCACCACCGTGTGGTACCATATCTGAGAGAGGACCTTGGATTTCACCAAGAGGGTACGTCCAGTGAGCGTGCGACCACGTTTCCCCCATTTTAGCAAGCTCGATTGGACGATCCGAACGAGCTGATCGTCGTAGAACGATTCCGAGAGCTTGTGGCCAAACTGGACTCCAAGGTACCGCACTGGCACCCCCGAGGCGACGACCGACAGATGAGTCCATGTTGGAGGCGGACGGTTCTGGTTCAGTGCCAGCACCTTGCACTTGGCGACGTTCAACCGAGCGCCCGAGACGGCGCAGTAATTGGCCACGACACCCAATTGGGCGTTGGTTTCGGCCTCAGAGCCGGTGAGTAGAGTGCAATCGTCTGCAAAAAGCATCGAAGTCACCGAGAAAGTCGGCGACAGACGAAGTCCAAACCATGGTTGCCGGCGTAAATGCTCGGCGAGAGGCTCGATAGCCAAGACAAAGAGAAGCGAAGAGAGGGGATCGCCTTGTTTAACCCCACGGTTCGTGTAGATCGGCTTGCCAAGCTTGTTGTTGACAATGAGCTTGGCCACAGGTTTGTTGTAGAGGAGACGAAACCACCGCAAAAACGCGGGGCCAATGTTGAAGCGCTGGAGCACCTGCTCCAAGTATGTCCAGTCCACGCGGTCGTACGCCTTCTCAAAATCGAGGAACGTGGCAAACCCGTCTTCATTCTTGCGCGTGCAGTGGTGCTGCAGCTCTTGGAGATAGACCACGTGGTCATGAATATTGCGGCCCGAGACAAAGCCTTGCTGGTCTTCGTGGACCAGCTTCGGCAGCAGCCCCCCGAGACGATGACTGAGGACCCGAGAGATAATTTTCGTCTCCACTGGTATCAACGAGATGGGCCGGTAGTTGCCGGGATCGGAAGCATCGCCTCCCTTTGGGAGTAGCGCGACCGCCGACGTGCGTTGGAGCTCGAGGAGCTCCCCTCGTTCCAGTTGGGACGTGAAGACGACGTGCAAGATCGAGGCAAAAGTCGGAGGGTCGAGTTGGTAAAACGCCGCCGGAAACCCGTCCAAACCGGGAGCCTTGTCCGGGGCCATGGTACGAATCGAAGACTCAATGTCCTTGACACTGATCGGTAAGTCCAAGAGTTCGCGGTCCTCCTGCGTAAGTTCCCGTGCGACTTGGCTCAAGAAAGCGCGGCGTCGGATGTTGCCGGGGTCATGAAAGTCATCTGAGCGCATCACCGTCGACCACTTGTGGTGGAAAACGTCATGGATGTCGTCCATCGACACCGCGACCGTACCGTCGGCCCGGCGCATTTCTTGGATTGGTGTTGAGCCGGTCGTCCGAGCCCGTAAGAAGTAGCGCGTGCTGGCTTCAGCTTGCGTACGGTGAAGCTCAAAGTTCAAATCTTTCGTGTTCTGTCTGGCTCGTTGTGTAGCTTTCGCGTACGTTTCACGAGCCACAGCGATTTCATCGTCGGACAAGTCCCCATGCCGATGATGGTACTCGGCCACTTGCCACACGACCCGTGCCTGATCCTTGCGGCGTTTGTCGATGACCAAGTACGATCGATGGTAATCTTGGAGGAATGATTTCGTGGTCTTCTTCCAGGCCGCCCATGCGGCTCCAGGGTCGTCGGCCGTGTCAAGACCGTCGCGGAGGGCAGCCGCTTCCGTCTTGATGGCGTCGGCGACCTCGGGAATGGCTAGTAGCTCCTTGGGCAATCGCCAGTACGCGTGCTTTGGTAACGGTGGTGCTGGATTGACGACGAGCCACTGGATCATGTGGTTGCCTGGAGCGGTGTTAGGACCCTTCGCGTATCCCGAGGTAAAGGTATTGTGAGCTCGCAAGCTGTCGCTGAGAAAGATGTAGTCCAGACGGTTCACGCCTCCTGGAGACGAGTACACTCGCGCCGTAGGGTGCAGTTCCCGCCAAATGTCGACGACTCCCATGGAGGCCAGCCACGCGACCCATTCGGCGTGGCCGTTCCACGAGATCGTGGACGCGCGCTCGGCGTCCTTGCCTTGATCCAGTGGCAAGTTGAAGTCGCCCATGATGACATGGTGTGCCTCGGGAGAAAAGTCCGTCGGTAGCATGTTGTAGAATGCAGCGCGCTCGGTTGGTTGGGCCGGCGCGTAGATGTTGTGGTAGTACGTGATGATACCGCTGACTGAAGCGGAGACAACCATGTAGCGGTCGGCGATGTCGCGTCGTTGCTCATGCCGAAGCGTGTCAAAGCCCGGTGTATTTTGTCGGAAGACCATGGCCACGCCGCTACTCCGTCTTGGCGGGTTGTGGATTTGGACCCTTGGTCGTTGACGGCCAAGAAGACGTGCTCGGCCTCAAAAAGACGATCGAGGTGGTCATGAAAACTTTTGGCTTGGTGTTGGTTCTTGAAGCGCGTCTCTTGAAGCGCGGTGATCGTGTGATGTCGGACGAACGAGTCGATGAGCTTGTGCCCGTTTCTTTTTATGGAGTTAATGTTGCATGTTGTGATAAATAATGGTTGTTGATGAGGGAGTTGAAGCCCGTCGTGACGAGCTTCACGGGTTGTCGTGCCCGTAATTACTCGTCCTCGTCGTCACACTCTTCATCCTCGTACTCATCTTCGTCGGCGGCTTCGCTCTGTGGCGAGGTGTCCTCGGATGGTACCAAAATGAGCAGACGCTGCTGGTTGAGCATGTACACGCCGTCGTCCGGGTACTCGAACGTGCCATTCCGGAGCTCGCGTAGCGTGCGAAAAATGCCGAGATCTCCAAGGTTTGTGAAGATGTTCAGCACTGCTCCACCCACGGGTGAGCGTAGCACGCGTAGCAGCACATTGGGTTGCACCATTCGGTCTCCGTAGCAGGTGTGTAAATGGAAGATACGGTGTTGAGTGATCGCCACCAGCCATTCATCCCGTGGAAACAAGTCGGGTGCCGTGGCAGCGACCATCAGCTCAAAGCCAGCGAGCGCGTGTTCCATGTCCAGAAGATCCTGTGCTCCTGGGATCGACGCCTCGGGGTGGAAGATGTCCGCGGTGGTCATAGAAAAGCGGTCCTCAGTGGTCCACTTGTTGTCCACATAGTCGTTGAAAGACTCCTCAAAGTTGTCTGTGATGCTCGGAAAGTCGGTGGCCGCGACCCATCGGAGCCACATGTGCATCTTGGCCAGCCCCTGGAGGCGGTCGAGGCTCAATGCAGCAAGGAAGCTGCCGCCGCGATCTGTCATCTGGTGCCAAACCCCCTCCGGGTTGAAGGTCTGAATAAATTCGTCGGCGTCGGCGAGAATCTCAGCTTCGGACTTGCCTGGAGCTTGAAGTTCCTCGACGCCTTTCGTGGCGCGATCCGTAGTTGTTTCTTGGAGAATCTCGGTCAATCGCTCCACCGACATGGCATCCACGTCCCATTCGAGCGCATCCGATTCGTTGAAGTCCATCTCGGTCGCCGTGGCGTTCGCGGGGAGGACTGCGGGAATGTGGGGCCGCGCCCCAATGTACGGCAGAGGATGGCCTTCTGCCGTCTTCATGCGCCGGTAGTCCACCTTCATGTTCTTGAGGAAGGAGTACATGTTGTCCGAGATGCCGATCGGTGGCGGGGCTCGCGCCCCTTTCGCAGGCTTGGCGCCACGACGACCGACTCGCTCGAATCCTTCCGAGTCTTTTTCCGTCTCTGAGTCCGAGGCCCAGTTCCGACCAGGCGTGCTCATCCACGGTTGCCCGCCTGCGGCACGCTGGCTTTTGGCACTCTTGGGGCGCTGACGCGGGCGCTCGGCATCCGTCTGTGGCGCGGCTCGCTTGGGCGCCAGCGCTCGGTCCAAATTGAGGCCATGGCGCTGCAGACGGTCACCCGCCGGTCGCGTGTAGCCCTTGAAATAGACGGGGTATCGGACATTTTTGTAGAGAATGTGGTCGGGGACCTGCCCGTCCACGAGCATTGTCGCGGGAAGCTCCGGATGCGCCAAGTAAAGGCGCCACGACGTGCCGTGGTTAGTCGGGATTTCCTTGATCGTGTGGTTGTACGCATGCGTGAGCGACGCGACCCCCAATTTGTCCAACGCGCGCATCACCTCGTCTTCCTCAAATCCGACACGGATGGCCGCCACGTCCATGAACATGTACGGGGCGAGGAGGGCCGCGCGCTCTTCGTCGGCCGAGGCCGTGAACTTGTAAGTGTCGCCGAACAGCTCGACGGATTTGTGGAGCATCTCCACGCGCGTCTCGTGGTCCGTTACCGAAAACACGAGCGACCCGTCGTTGGTCTTGTTGATCATGGGGATCCGCGGGAAAAGCGGCATCCACACGTCGTTGTTGTTGGCCGAGAAGAACTCGTCCGTGATCTCTTGGTTCGAGTAGTTGGCGAACTCCTTGCCCCCCTTGAGCCAAACTGGCACTTTCGCGACCACTGGCAGGATCGGCAAGTGCGTCTTCATGAGCGCGAGGCGCTCGTCGAAGCTTGCGTAGGCCAACGTGTTACGCTCAATGAGCTCGCGGATCGCCGCGGGCTCGGGCAGTAGGCGCACGAACGTGTGGCGCAATGCTTGCGCCGCCCGTTGCTGGACGCCATTGACCGCTGCGGCGTATGATGGTCGCTGACCGTAGCCTTGACCCACGCGGCCAGGGTTACGTGGCGCACCACGCCAACTACGGCCCGTGCCACTCTCGGGCACGTGGTCCTTGGTTTCTTCCTCCTCCCGGAGCGACGCCACGCGGTCGTCCTGGAGGGACATGTCTGGGGGTTTCACTTGCTGTACGGCTGGAAAAACGCAGAATTTTTACAGGATCAAATTCTAAAGTCCGTTCAGTTTTACTTTGTTTTCAAAGTTGACATCACAAATGACTTTGATGATCGTATATGACCACGTCCGTTGACTCGGGATGTCGGCCAGAAACTCGAATTGAGTTTTGAGTTGCTGGCTCTTGATGAACGTCCACCGTTGCTATTCCAAGACGGTGTGAGCGGACGCTGGTGTTATGAGAAGTCGTTTGTAAATTCTTATTTTATTCTCCAATTTCCTTTATCTTATGCTGTATCCAAGAACACTGCTATAGCCCAAAAGCTTTCTACCCACGTGAGGCTCCTACTTGGCGCAGACAACACCAACCCAGTCTCGCCCACTGTACATGGATCGCTTACTTGCTTCGCACAGCAAGCTCGAATGCAACTCGAGCCATGGAATGGCATGACATGCTGCGCATGCTCGCGCCCTTGTTGCCGTCGGTGCCATCCGCATACGAACGGCCCAAGAGTGGCCATCAAGAGGCGTACTAAGAGGAGGCGCATTGTGCGAAGCATTATACCACATCGGTCACACATTGGCGATCCTTGGTTCTGCACGCAGGGTACCGTGAAGGACGAATAAGAGGATACGGCGATGAAAAGGAGTGCAGCGCTCGACTGCTGGTGCGGGCAGCCGCATGCAGACCCGACGTTGAGACACGATTCGAGCGTTGACGGGATGTGTACGTACACGTGTGGCGGTGCGTGGACGCGCCGTCGGATCGGATGTGGCCATAGCGCTAACCGTTTTAGACGCGCAAGCGCATGACGTTGCGGCGGTCATGATGCTAGGCATATCGCGCCATCGCTCGCAGCGTCGCCGTAGGTCTTGGGAGCTTGGAGGAGCGCATCTCGGAGGCGATCCCGTGGCCGACGTGCGGCGAGACCGTCGAAAAAATTGGCCAGGGCTCCGCCCAAGGGTCGACTCGGTGGCTCGTCACGCATAGAAAGGCTGCAGCATACCTACAGCGACGTTGCGTGAGCGCCTTGGCCTGAGGCCTGCGCACGGCTTGCCACGTACAACGTGCCTGGGCTGGCAGCGATGATCGGTTCGAGAACTGCCGCAAGAACACTGGCGATTGGCTCGGAAGCGATATCATTGCCGCTCTGATTGGCCGCAAATAGAAAGGCTTGGCGCTCTGATTGGCTGAAACGCTTTGGCTTGGCGTCGGCGAAAATGAGGGAGACCGACGAGGAATGCTGCATTGCGACCGAGCGACACCTCATGATGGCGTAGAGAAGGCTGATGGAGTCTCCTTGAGCACAATGCAGCAGCGTCAGTGGTGCCCGAGGAGCCTCGGCGTCGTCTTTCTGGCGTCACCGGTCGTTGCTATTGGCGTTCGCCATTTACAACCATAAATAACCATATTTTGGTGACCACAGCCCGGCCGCGCCGGCAGATCGACCAGAATGAAGTTTGAAAGTGAAATCGCCCATACTTACCAGAGTGCTAGACCACACTTTGGGGAGTCCAAAATGCTATGTGGCGTCGCCGCGCGAGCTCTGTAGCGAGAGAAAATGGCAGCGACAAGCAATGTTTTGATATAGTGTGCTTGTTCGCTATACCGAAATACTGTACGGGATACAAGGCCTCATCACGCAGCGGTATCGCGCGCACTTTGCCTCCCTCGGCCACATGCAACACGCTCTTTAACATGAACAAATAGAGTCGGCGTTTTCGGTTTCCGCGATTTCGACGCATTTTCAACAGAAATTGCATGTCGAATTTCCTGAAAACCGACGCTCGGCAGTTCGAGTTTGGTGTGAGTGCGCAAGCTACGACGGCGACCAACAAGCTGGTCGCA